CAGGTCTGGGGCCTGCCTGCAGACTCAGGCAGCAAAGCATGCTATGCCCCATCCTCACCAGGACCCTCCACTGCCACAGCGTAGACAAGCCCAAGAAGTCCAGAGCAGCAGCTGCTTTGCCCTGGCCTACATGATAATGTGTTGTAGAAAAGAAAAAGCATGTCCTTAATGCACTTCCAAAGACCAGACAGTCTGACCAAAGCTCTCTGAACCTGTTTTAAAGGGACCACACAAGGGTTATTCCAAAAACTCCCAAACATTCTGCTGTAAAGTTCTAACACGGAGGGATTAAACAGACATCCCTTGTTAATAATACATTCCAGGCTACATTTGAGTGCCATCCAAGGGAAGTTTTGATCCCCCACTGCACTGTTATTTACTAGTTAAGGCCTGAGGTAAGAGAGTAAAGGAGAGCACAGTTGACTTCAGTGGAAATGGTAGGTTCTCCTCTGTTCTTAGTATTTGACTCATCATTGATGTCAGTGGCTATTTCCCTCAGTGCAGATGAGGTGCTAACTGGCCCTTTCTCCTACACAGGGTACATCTCCAACTCCTGCAAGTGGCCCCTGTGAACTGTGGGTGCAAGGGCTCAGCATGTCACAAGATATCTGCCTGAGTAAGCCATGAGTGAGGACATTAGGAAATGGTATATTTCATGTCTTTACAGAGGTCATGATGACCCTCTCATCACCAGGGAGAGATGATGCTGAAGTGGTGGTAGAAACAATCAGTTAGAAGGGAAACGCACATCTATCATATAGAATTGGAGATGTATCTTTCATTTGGGACAAGAAAGGATATGACTACACAGCAGTGTAGCTGTATATCCAGCTAATCTGGGTCATGGAGCAGCCTGAACTTCAGCCCAGGCTAAACACCCAAGGATGTACCAGACTCCTAGGTTTGTACAGGCCACAGTGAAGACTGTACTGCCCTGGCCATGCTATTGCTGGTAGCTGAGCTAGGTAGATTAAAGCTAGCCCAGGTATATCTACAAGCCTTTAAGTCACATCTACAATTGCAGTGTTGACAAATGCTAGAGCAAGTTAATTTTAACTTTCCCAAACCTGTCAAATTGTGCCTCTTTTAAGCTATTCAGTGATAACAGTGATTTATGTTTCTGGCACTGATACGATGAGGGCAGTTTCTGAATACTTAGGTCTGGACCAGGGATGGGTATTTATTTGAGCAAAAGCATCACTTAAACAATTTCGGTGAGATGTTGGGGGTCAGAGGGGTGGGGGCATTGCTGACCCATACTGGTGTGACAGGGTGCTGACCCAGCCAAGCATGGCAAGGGGACATTGATCCTATCTGGCCCTGCCCATCCTCCTATTCCACTCCCAGTCACTGCTCCCCTTCCACCCATGGCCCCCTCCTATCTGCCCTGCCAAGCATGCCCTGCCTGTGGGGGTCCTGGGCCAGACTCCATGGAGACCCTGCCCACCTGCTCTGTCTGGCACCCCGGCGGTGGGTGCAGGGAGGACTGGCAGTGGCAGCCAGGCAGAGTGAGCCACTACTATGGGGCCACCAGGAAACCAAGTCCAGCTGCTACACTGCACCGTCCCACCGTACATCCGAGAGCAGCAGGGCCTGCACTACAAGCCATGGCCCAGGCTACTCCCTCCGCCTGAGCTGGGCAGGGCTGAGAGACCCGCTGTGGACTGAACAGAATCCACTGTGGGGCTGGATCTGGCCCACAGATCATATTTTGCCTATCCCTTGTCTGGACACGTGAACAACATACCACAGAGTAAAAGGAAACAGGGTTTTAAGTATGCCAACTGCTCTGTGATGCACAGTACCTGTGTGCATGCTCCTACCCCACTGTAAGAGAAAAATAACCCATGATAGTTCAGCCCTCGGTGAAAGAAGGTGAGCTACTGTGCTCACAGGGACAACTGCCATGGAGCAGCTGCCTCTCTAAATACCTGCCTCCATGTACTCCTTGGCATATAATCCATCTGCCCATAGCCTCAGGTGATAATATCATATCAACTCCATCCTGCCTTTTAACTCTGTTGAAAGCAGGTTCAGTATAAAACAGAGCTAAACCAATTTCTGCCTGAACTAACATTTTGTTTCTTTGCTACAGTTCAATTTAATGGCAACACTTTCATGCCTTTAATTAACTTGCATCTGTTTTGTGTTCAAAATTTACAACACTTGCCCACTTTGGATACAGTAGTTTATGTCCCAGCACCAAACATATGTTCATGCTTACTACAAACTGGTTCTGAATTCTTTGACTTAACGCTGTATCAGTTAATTATCCTTTTAATAGAAAACTTATGAGGCTGGGCTGAATCTTTTAACACAGGGGTTATCAAACTTTGCACTACCGCAACCCCGAGTGCTGGATGGTGGTAGCGGGGGACAAGGAGCTTGCATGCGGCAGTGGCCGCCACCATCCACCACTCCGTGCTGCCACCGCACATTGCTTTCCCGCACCACTGTGGTACCCCCTGGGAAGTTTGTGCCCCCTTTTAAGTTGCTTGCGACCCCTGGGAAGGGGGGGGGTCACAACCCAGTTTGAGAACCCCTGCTTTAACAACACTACAAACAGGAATTGTTTGGATACTGTTAAGCAATTGTCCATAGAAAGAACCAGCACGGCCTAAGGTTCAGAGGTGCTGAGCACCTGGAAGTTCCCACTAAAATTATTGGGAGTGTAGAAACCCATTACCTCTGAAAACTAAGTAGGGAATGTTTTTCTTAGATGTACCTCACAGAGCTTAGATAAGTGACTTAAACTAAAAGTCACTGGGGCTCTGGGGATCTTCAGGAACTTTTAACACTGAGAAGAGCCCTCTGTACTGGATGCCTCTCACCTCTTGAAACCAAGGATGGAAATAGATGTCACCTTTGTGCCACCACAAAGTCTAGGTAAACAGATACTCATGCCCCCTGTCATGCCACAAATGCCCAAAATTTGTGGCTGTGACAAAGGTGGAATCAATTCATGTCACTGATTAGCAGTGGACTCCTGTTTCCTTTATGGTACGAGCCCCTCAAGCCTCAGGAGAACACACTGCCCATTGTCCCACAGCATCAGTAGCCAGGACAATGGGCAATGTGTGTTTTGCACAATGAAGAAGATCAGCTGTGCCAGGGCATATGCCAGCATAACTGATACACTTCATTTGACAATGTCTGTTTCTAGCCTAAGAAAACATCACAAAGAGATTGTGGAAGGGGCAGAGGGGAACTGTTCGCCACTACACATTCCATGAAATGATGTTCTAGTGTCCTGATATAGGCTTGAATGAAGATCAAGGCACCAACAGTTCACTCAGTCCCATTTTATAGGGGCAGAATGCTTTGACTTCAATACAGACACATCTGGTTTTCACCCAGGAGGAACATCAGGCCACAGATCTAACAAATTATGCCAACCTCCAGGTGGAATAGTAATACACATAATTTTTCTCGAAACTGGAGCCTCTAGGGAAATGACTGAATAAATGTGCTTACTTTTTACTTTTATATAAAAGGGGTGTTTTCTAAGTTTAATAACATTCTTCTCTTCCAGTACTGTTATGCTCCTATTGGGAGCTGTAATTAAAGTCATTGATAGGCTGTGTGGTTTGGTTTATAATCGTTTGCATTACCTTTCATTGGAATTGTAATTTGCATTGTGCCCCACTACAGTAAAGTTTGCACTTCATTGCTGGCCCTGCTCTGTTTGTCCTGTTCTACCTGAGAGCTGGATTTAAACCATAGACTGCCACAGACTATTCTTGTACAGAAAAAGTAGTTTACACAAGAAGGATTTACAAGGCTCAAGCCCTTTAAACTGAACTGTTACATATTTTTCAGCCAAGTAAAATAAAACTCAGCCTAGCAGTCACCTTAGGTCCCGTCTGATCACCAAATGCTTGAGTCAGCAATTCCCAATGCTCGCAGTGTTTTTGTTTTATTTTTAAATTTGACCAAGAGGCAGATCCTTAACTCCTTACTCAGGCAAAGTCTTATTATGAAACTGAGGGCCCAACTGTATTAATCTCCCATTGTGGGACACAAGAGATAGGTGTTTCCCTGTTTCCCCCTCTCTAGAGGAGCTGAGCTCAAAGAGGGCTTTTGCAAGAAGTAGTTGAGTAAGCAAACATTCTGCTGCCAATTTTAAAATGTCACAAGTATCTACACATCCTTTAACTTGACTGACTATAAACAGTGAGGGCTGCATATGTCCCTGTCTATGGAAAGTAAAGAATATAGAGTAGTCTCAATTTCCCACATTCTCACTGGCATCCATTATGGTTGTTCAACTGAAGCTAATAGAGTGACACTGAAATACCAATTGAGGATCTGGCCTTCTTCTCCAAGAGGTTTGATATTCCTCTTCTGAAGAAAGAACTATTTTATATCCCTCTCCCGAGAGCTAGGGCTACTCAAAAATCATCTGTATCTCTAAATACACTCAGTTGAAGATCTGTCTCAAGCTTAAGTAGCTCATCATGCTAACGATTTCTGCACCCAACCAAATGTACAGGAGCAAAGTGGGTAACAGCATGTCCAGCCACCTTTAACTCCCCAGCCCAAACAATCAGGTACCTATTGACCCAGCTGGGTCAATAAGAGATGACTTTCAGCAAACTGGAACAAGGCTCAAACTCATGCTTCCAGATCCATTGCAAGACAGTTTAACAACTCTGCTACCAGATTCCATGTCAAATTCACTATGAAGTGCTACCAGTTTGTCATTTAATAAATCAATAAATGCATCTTCATAATCACCAGCTGTAAAGAGGCTTTGGCTTACAGTTAGTCTCTCAGGGCCTATTTCACTCTGACCTAAGTTCACCAAGATCAGTGACATCAGAGATTGGATGAAGATGGCCCAAAATGACTGTGCTTTGTTTCCTTCTGGGTATGGATTGCCTTTATATTCTGTTTGGCTTGTCCTTCAATAAAACAAGTAGCAATTGCAATTAGATAACAGAGATCTGTAGCACTGACCATCTGTGACTGCATTAGTTGGCAGAGGTGGGGAAACACACGTGCAGGACTGTTGTCTTCTTAGCCATCTGGAGTTTATACAGTCTTCTCACCCATTCTGCTTGAAGTTTCCCACACTCAGAAAACCAGAAGATGACTGGACTCTTCAGCAGTCTGGTAGAAGTTCATTTCATCTGGTACCGAGTCATAGATGAAGGGAAGAATTCATAAACTCAGTTTCATTAGCTTTTGGCCTAGTGACTAGTCAGCATGTTATGAAGAGAATTGCTTTACATTACTTTTTCATTAGCCAATTCTCACTTTCTGCTATTTCCAATTCGCCTAGCCTCACTCCTTTGCTTTTCAGTGTACAGGCTCATAACAATTATCTAGAAGTCAAGGAAAGAGTATTAGGATTTAAGATTCCAGGCTCCATTTCAACAAAAGCTTTGCAATCCAGAGACACTAAAGGGAAAGGATTAAACTTCCATCTGTTTGCCTTGGGGGAAAAAAGCAGAGAAATCAGAGAGAGGTTTCAAGAGATACTCACATGATAATTCTGTACATTCATTAGGCAGTAAAGGCTCACATAAGACAAAATCTGCTTGGGAGTCATTCCAGTCAACAACCTAAAATAGCTTTTTAAATATTCGTTTTACATGCTGCAGACTGGAAAGACTCCTTCAAAGACATTTTTCTAGATTGTGTACTTACTAATTGCATCTTTAGGACACATGCCATCTGTAGATGAAAACCCCTTATGAAAAGTGGGAGGAAATGCCATACTCTTTCACTGCAATTGAAATGTAAACTGCAACATCAGGGTATCGTAAAATGCCAAAAGCAGTTCAATCATATTAAGAACTAATCAATTCATTTCCTATGGACCAAATGGTTCCTTCTGCTCCTAGGAACAGAGAGGAGTGAATACCAAATCATCTAGAGGAGAATGTTAAATGGGAAGTTGAACATCCCTTCTAGATCCATGCATGCTCCAAAGGCATCAGGTGCTTCAGAAACGGAAAATAAAGCCACTGTTCTAAGGCAAATGTCAATAGAAATGAATAATGAACAAATTAGCATCACATTTACAGCTTTCCTCCTATCTGATGGCAGCTTACTTTCTCCAATGTGGATTTGAAGACTGTTGTTTGATGTGAACAACCTGTTGCCATGGCACTTTCAGGTAGTGGAGAAGGGTGACTAGAAATTATATGGTGGAAACACAGGTTCTCAGCATGACTTTCCTAATATTTAAAGAAGTCAACAACTAAACACCCTTAGAGATGGCAACTGTGCCCTAGTTTTTCATTTTTGCTATTGTGGGTGCACAATGGTATCTAATGAAAAAAAAAACAAAGCAAAGCACATGCATTTCTCCTAGAACAGTCAAATAAATTGAATCTTCAGACTGGGTACAAAGGATCAAGGAAGACCCTGAAGACAAGTCAGGTAAAATACCCACCTTATGCACTGGATCCAGCATTGCTAACACAGTACTCATGGGCTACAGACAGAAATTACACATAAACCGGTTTAAGTGATCAGAAACTGGTTTAAACCTGTAATAGAACAGACATTCAGTGCACATAAACCAGTCTGAAAATGGCTGAAACCAGCTTGAGATAAACCTGGTTGAATGTAGTATCAGACTTAACTAATTTGGCTCAAACCAGTTTATGAAATGTCTGTCCCAGACCCCTTGCTGATTTAAGGTAAACCAGACACCCCAAGCAACCCAGCATGCTCTCTGGGCTGGTAGGGGCTCTCTGCTCCACAGCAGGGCTGGCCCCTCCCCTTTGCTCCCTGGCTGGAGCTCTGGCACGGACTGCAGGCTACTCATCCCCCTTCCCCCTCACTACTCCCTGCTAAGCAGGAATTCCTACCTCCCCTCTGCCTTGCAGAGAGGTGTCTGTGTATTAGTTAGCAGACCACATGCTGGCTATGGTCCATGCTGAATCAACAGGAAGA